CCAGCCCCGCCCCGTCCCGCTGCACGTGACTATTGTGTCGCCTCGATTAATTAGGTAGAAAATTACGACAAAAAGGCACACGGCTCGACTGCGGATTCCCCCCCCCCCTCCTCAGCTGATGCTGTATCATTCTGAACAACAACTGTATGTTTTAGGGGTTGGGTAGGGGGGAGGGGGGGAATAAAAACATCCTTCGGGGTACAGCGTAGGTACTGCGATCGCGACTGCGGTAATGGCGTTATGACTGACTTTATTTATTTCTATCCTGCGCTATGCTCAGAGATGCAAATGCATTGAAATAAATACCCTTTGGGCAGGAAATAAATTAACATTGGTTTTCGATTCTTTGATGTCTTGAAAAGAAATTGAATTTAAAATAACATATAGCCCTACAGCGCGCGTTCACCAGGGTTCCCGTTTGTTTCAGGCACTCTCATGGCGTTTGAAATTTCCTCGGCCCCTCTCTTCCCTGCGAATTGTTGATTGATCATTGCGCTCAGCTGGTTGAGCTCTGCTTTCACTTAACGAGAGTTTATAATAGAAAGACCCACCTCGACCCCACGTGTGAGATTTTGTCGTTCGATCATCATTTGCCGAGAGTCAAGAGCCGACGTTGCATGCTTGTTGGGCCGTGTCACCACAGAGTGATGGATAGATCTTATGCCATCGCGACTTTTTTATCCGTCTGCAACACAACCGTGAACATTTTACACAAAGATTTGCTATAAGCCTGTGCCAACATCCCCTCCTCACGGATACCGGGTGATACCTGTTCGACGCCACACGGTGATTTACGTTAAACTCGTCGAGTACGGCATGTATGGGCCCCTTTGAATGACTTTTCGCCTCATGAATGGGTGCGTTTATTTGCCTCCTCTTTTCAAAAACCGCGAAATTCTTTCGGGGAGATAAACGTCTTCCGTGTTTGGACGGGGGACAGACGCCTCATACAGGAGCCACTAATACCTGCAGGGGCGCAGGAGAGGCCTGCAGCACAAAGGCCAGGAGGTCTTAGCATCTGTCGGGGGGCGTCAACAAACGGAAGGGATGAGCGGGGCCGGTGAGGAGGAGAGGGGAGGTGTTGTGTGGATGTCGTTTAGCGATAAACACCCGTGAAAACATGGAGAGGCTCAGAGGCTCTCAGCGAAGCAAGCCTGTGAAATTGTCGCATCTGATTCATTTTGCTCCCCCCCCCCCTTTCTCTGCGCGCGTAAATCGAAACATAAGAAAGTAGATAGGGTAGGGCTAGACGAATCATTCAGTTCTATCCCGACTGCCCATAACTCACTTTGGCCCTCGGCCGACAGCCCCCTCCGTCCTGCGGACTACCGCGGATATCCGGCTTCCTATTTGCACTTCGCGTCTCCCACCGTCGGCTCGTCTCTTCATGTGCCTAAAGTCAACGCGTTTCATTGTTGTGGGGTTTTCTTCCCCTCCCCATCATATTGTACACATTTCGATGTTAGGAAGCGCAAGTATACGGACGCATAAGGTCCTGTTGGTTTCTCTGCTATTTCTCGGCGGGGCCTTGGGCCGGGCCGTGCGCTTGTTATGCAGCTGGCGTGTGAACTAATGGCCGGCGATGTGGCTGCAGTCTGCACTACGACGGGGGCGTGTCCGGGAGTAGACGGCACGCTATACCGTACAGCACTGTACTTACCAGTTTAATGCACCCCAACTGTCATTGTGCAATCCAGCCAACTTTTATGAGCCGCCCAATTTACTTTTCGAGTTCACCCCCCGGAAAGGTTAACGGCATTGACACATTCACCTGGATTCATATACAGTCTTGGAGGAACTCTGAGAATAACTTTGACTTATTCAGTGCATTTGGTGCGTGCGTTTCCTTAAACCTTATTGTAGATGAGATGATCTTGTCCGCGGTTTGCAGATTAATGAAAGGAAATTCAAGGACGCTGGGGTGAAATAGTTTTGCAGGAAGGCGAGTATGCAGGGCCATCGGTCAAGGGGCGGAGCAGATGAGACGGGGCAAGGGGAGGAAAAAAACCTACTGGCGTGGCGACCAGGAAATAAAAAACGAAAACCTATTTGTTGCGATCTTTCCACAATAAACTGTGGCCAGTGAGAACACGACATGTGCGACCGGGAGAAGCAGGGGTGTCGGAGA